GGGTAGGAGTTGACTGTTGAAGACACCATCAACTGCTCATATGAAAGGTCAAGTTGAAGCTGAAGAAAATTAAAACAGGTCCATGAGAGTCAAAATATGACCTTGATTATATCCTACCTGAATTTAGAGACCATCTACAGAATAGATTTGATACAATGAACACCAATGACTGAAAACCAGATGAATGACATCAAGAACATCATCCATGAAGCACGCAAAATGTTATTAAAAAGACAGGAAAGGAAGAAAAGACCAAAATGCATGTCAGAAGATACTGTGAAACTTGCCCTTAAACAGAGTAGGTAAAGTGAGTAGAAGAAATGACAATATAAAAGAGCTAAACAGAAGATTTCAAAGAGCAGCTCAAGAAGACAAAGTCAATTATTATAATGAAATGTGCAGAGACCTGGTCTAGAAAACCAAAAGGGAAGAACACATTTGGCATTTCTCAAGCTGAAAGAACTGAAGAAAAAATTCCAACCTTCAGTTGCAATATTGAAAGATTCTATAGGCAAAATATTGAATGATGCAGGAAACACCAAAAGAAGATGGAAGGAATATGCAGTCACTGTACCAAAAAGAATTGATTGATGTTCATCCATTTCAGGAAGTGGCTTGTGATCAAGAACCAATAGTACTGAAGGAAGAAGTCGAAGCTGCACTGAAGGAATTGTCAAGAAACAAGGCTCCAGGAATTCATGGAATACCCATTGAGATGTTTCAAAAAATGGATGCTATGCTAGAGGCACTTACTCATCTATGCCAAGAAATTTGGAAGACAGTTACCTGGCCAACTGACTGCAAGAGATCCATATTTGTACCCATTCCAAAGAAAAGTGATCCCACAGAACGTAGAAATTATTGAATAATATCATTAATATTAGACACAAGTAAAATCTTGCTGAAGATAATTCAAAATGGTTGCAACAGTGTACTGACACGGAACTTCCAGAAATGCAAGGTGGATTCAGAAGAGGATGTGGAATGAGGGATATCATTGTTGATGTCAGATGGATCTTGGCTGAAATCAAAGAGTACTGGAAAGATGTTTACTCGTGTTTTATTGACTATGCGAAGGCATTTGACTGTGTGGATAATAACAAATTATGGATAACATAGAGAAGAATGGGAATTCCAAAGCACTTCATTGTGCTCATGAGGGACCTGTACATTGATCAGGAGGCTGTCATTTGAACACAATAAGGGGATATTGCACAGTTTAAAATCAGGAAGAGAGTGCATCAGGGTTGTATCCTTTCCCCATACTTATTCAATCTCTGTGAGCAAATAATCTGAGAAGCTGGACTGTATGAAGAAGATCATGGCATCAGAATTGGAGGAAGACTCATTAACAGCCTGCGGTATGCAGATGACACAACTTTGCTTGTTGAAAGTGAAGAGGACTGTAAGCACTTACTGATGAAGATTAAAGACACCATTCTTCAGTATGGATTACACATCAACATAAAGAAAACGAAAATCTTCACAACTTGGACAATAAGCAGCATCACGATAAATGCAGATAAGTGTGAAGTTACCAGGAAGTTCATGTTGCTTGTTTCCACAATCAACACCCATGGAAGCAAC